ATATGTATCAGAAAATGTAATAAAAATTTGAAGTGATTTTGGAGCCAATTTTCGGAAAAACCATGGGCTATAGTACAGGGTACTTTTCAGAATTTTGGCTTTTTCTTAAAATGGCTGTAACTTACAAAATTGAAGTCGGAATCACCTCAAACTTTCTACACAGCATTAAGACTTCAATATGTATCAAAAAATGTAATAAAAATTGGGAGTGATTTCGGAGCCAATTTTTGGAAAAACCATGGGCTATAGTACAGGGTATTTTTCAGAATTTTGGCATTTCTTAAAATGGCCGTAACTTGAAAAATTGAAGTCGGAATCACCTCAAACTTTCTACACAGCATAAGGACATCAATATGTATCAGAAAATGTAATAAAAATTTGAAGTGATTTTGGAGCCAATTTTCGGAAAAAACCATGGGCTATAGCCTTGGGTACTTTTCAGAATTTTGGCTTTTTCTTAAAATGGCTGTAACTTACAAAATTGAAGTCGGAATCACCTCAAACTTTCTACACAGCATAAAGACTTCAATATGTATCAAAAAATGTAATAAAAATTGGGAGTGATTTCGGAGCCAATTTTTGGAAAAACCATGGGCTATAGTACAGGGTATTTTTCAGAATTTTGGCATTTCTTAAAATGGCCGTAACTTGAAAAATTGAAGTCGGAATCACCTCAAACTTTCTACACAGCATAAGGACATCAATATGTATCAGAAAATGTAATAAAAATTTGAAGTGATTTTGGAGCCAATTTTCGGAAAAAACCATGGGCTATAGCCTTGGGTACTTTTCAGAATTTTGGCTTTTTCTTAAAATGGCTGTAACTTACAAAATTGAAGTCGGAATCACCTCAAACTTTCTACACAGCATAAGGACATCAATATGTATCAGAAAATGTAATAAAAATTGGGGGTGATTTCGGAGCCAATTTTTGGAAAAACCATGGGTATATAGTACAGGGTATTTTTCAGAATTTTGGCTTTTTCTTAAAATGGCTGTAACTTACAAAATTGAAGTCGGAATCACCTCAAACTTTCTACACAGCATAAGGACATCAATATGTATCAGAAAATGTAATAAAAACTGGGGGGCAGTGAGTTTGGAGCCATAGTACAATAATTTATTCTTATGATAAATCTTAAATCCCTAATGAAAACTAATTTATGAATGTACATGTACATGTACCTGGTGGTTAATCTTCTGCCACCTTCCATTATGTCCAATCTCTAGTATCTTCTCGTCATCCTCCTCTTCTTCTTCTTCGTCTTCTACCACTTCATCAGCTCCCGGACCTTTGGTCTTCTCCTCGTGGGATACACCGGTCACCGGTTCATTGGTAGCAACCGGTAACTCGGGTACACCGGTTGATGCTGCCGTGGTAGAGGAGGAAGAGAGTCCACCGGGTGGTGCTGGAGTCTGTTGTGAAGATGGAGGACTTCGAGGCATCTTTCCTCAGTGACAGAGAATTAGAAGGGAGGGGTAGTGGGAGGGGTCTAACTAGCAGAAAGAAGGTGTGGCTCGTTATAAACTACAGCATCTTGTACTTGTGGTGCAACTTGTGGCGACTTTGTCATCTTGAGCCCTTTAGTGGCTGCAGAAGTCAGATTTCGTAACTATTTTAAACTCCATTTTAAAGCAGCTAGATCTAGTAAGCCTTTTCTACACACTTACTTTCATATTTACTTGTCACGTGCAGGCTTGCCTGGCTCTACCCCATTAAAGATGGAAGCCTATGAAGTCACCAAGCACAAAGAAAATGATTACGACGTTCCAATGCAAGATCTAAGCAAGGAAGATGACAATCAGGGCTACTTCAATAGCAATTACAATTACAAATATCAGCATGCAGGCTCCTTCGTTGAAAGCAAATCTGGAAGAGTCCTTTTGGTAATTATTATCGTCATCATTCTACTTTCATTTGGTATCCTCATGGGCTTAGCCATAGCAACATTGTATGAAATTGGTAAAGTTCAATCCTGCAATAGCATTAATGGGGGAGTTTTGGGAGCTGTGAGTAGTACAACCAGCAACAGTAATAATAATGATAATGATAATAATCTGATTTGTAGTTGCAATGAGCTTGTGCATGAAATGCGTTTCATGCAAGGTCAGCTTAACCAAGTGCTTAATAAGACAGTGGCCTGCACTGTAGATGATGACAGCGAGATCTTAAATGCAACTGAAACACTTCTGAAAGCAACCGGAGATTCTGCACAAAAGCTCATTAACATTGTCAATACTCTCTCTAATCTACAAGACACCAGTACCTCTACTGCTGGAGTGGCTAGTGACATATTACTAGTAGCAAAGCAGCTGTTAGTGCTACACAATGACTCAACTGCTTTACCTACCTCTTGTAAGCAAGTTAAGCAAGAGCAACCAAATAGTCCATCAGGTACTTATATACTCTCCACTGCTAGTGGAGATGGAACATATGAAACTTACTGCAATATGGGGGAGCTGTGTGGTTCAGGAGGAGGATGGACAAGACTAGCATATCTGGATATGACTGATGCTACAGAAAATTGTCCTTCAGCTTTGAGGCTCTATCAATCAGGTGGGGTTAGGTGCTGTGGTAGACCTGTCTCTGGTATTGGTAGCTGTGCATCAGTTCAGTTCCCATCTAATGGTGTCAGTTATTCTCAGATATGTGGTAGAGTAACAGGATATCAGTTTGCATCAACTGATGCTGCAGTCACTGGTAATTTGAACTCTAACTACGTTGATGGTGTTAGTATCACTCGTGGGTCTCCTCGTAAACACGTCTGGACACTGATATCTGGCTGGAGCGATACTCATAATGTCAATCCATGCCGATGCAACCAGCAGCCTCAAGTTTTCATTGGAAATAATTATTTCTGCGAGTCTGGTAATCCAACTTCCAATACAGGCCAGACACTCTTTGTGAATGATCCACTCTGGGATGGTCAAGGTTGTGGTTCTCTTGAACTTACTTGCTGCTCTGCTCCAGGGCTACCATGGTTTCACAGAGACTATGGTAGCACTACCACTACTGACTATATTGAGTTGAGGGTCTGTGGAGATGAATCTACTGCTAACGAAGACGTTACTGTCGGTTTGTATGAGATTTACGTTCAGTGAAACTTTAAATTTGCTAATTTTTTTCTGCTGAATTTCCAGGTATTATAACTAATACATAATTTGCT